GGTATTTGGAATGAAAATCACTATTTATAACAATCTTCACCTATGATGTGATCATTTATGAATAAAAGCACATGATACTGAAGGTGGGACAACCTTTTTGACCAATGTTGTATTATGTGCAACGAATAACATTTACTTCAGTTGGAGGATATCTTCTTTTTGTTTTATCACTGATTAAAAATATTGTGTTACTTGAAAGCTTAAATGAAGTATTGAAAGATCGCTCAACATGAAATCTCTTCTATTTGCCCCTTGGTTTTATTATTATCATTTATTAACTTTGAAATTTTCCTTGGTGGGATGGTCTTCGCTACATTTACTTCAATTTTGCTGAGAGGTTATAACAGGAAACATAACGAACTTTGTATATATACAGTGTATGGTTGACATGTTTATATTTAGTACAGTGTTGATTGATGGCCAGGTGGGTCAGAACACCACGCGAGAACAGACTGTGCGTGCGGTGTGATTTAAATGCAGGAATACGTAGTCTGTGACTGCATACATACGACTGAGTGCCCAGATCAGTTTCGTTCAATACACTTTACAAATCTGAAGAACATTTTCTCTAGTCTTCGAATTACGGACACACTTAAATGTATAAGACCTTGTTTGGCTAATTATTAGTAAAATGTTGTTTAAACTATTATCACTATTTTCCCGCGTCAATGTGCTGTCTTTATTAATTTGTTTCCAATTCCTCATTTATTTTTTAATTTTTTTATTCATTCATTTTTAATCAAATTAATACTACCATTTCTCTATTTTTTCTGAAAGCAAACAAACATAATTTTATCTGCATTTCGTTTGATGTTAGGGAGGATTCTGAATAAGAGGTTAAGCAAATAATAATGAAACTGCATGGTAAAAAAAGATTAGTTTCGAAACTTGTTTATTTCTGTCATGGGGCAGTGGTAAATCAATTAAAACTTACAGTAATTTCATCAAAGAGATACCTGAATGAGTGAGATTATCTGTTTCCCCTCCTCTGCCTCTGCCTCTGCCTGGAGATAGAATTTTATGAAAAGCTGGCATTTATAATTTTTCTCAATATCACATTTTCAATCTCATTATTATATTCATTTCAGCGGGGAATTGTCCGGGGGGGGGGTACCTGGATAGATGTTTGAGCTCTTATATTATCTGAAGACCAAGATGAATAAGAACATTTGAAGTTTTTTTTTCAAATAATACGTCCACGAAATTGCTTTGGGAAGATAACGATTTCGGGACTTCCAGGTCTTATAAACTGATTAGGCGTTTAATGACAATAGCCGCAGATCTTTCAGCACTAACGCTCATATTAACCACAAAACCCACGAATTAACCAACACACCACACACTTATTTAGCACCAACAAAACGATATCTAGCACTAACATTCATCCGCTCGGGTAGTGTTGGTTAATTTGTATGTTTTTTTGGTTAATATGAGTGTTAGAGCTGAAAGATCTGCAGGTGGTGTTAGTAAACGCCTAATTTGTTTATATGGCCCCACTTCTAAGCAGCATACCAATTTGGCTATAGTTTTAAAGTCAACAACAACTCGTTAAATTAGCTTTGCGCGACAAGGTTGTTTTTAGTAACACCCCAAACTGAATTGCTTGGTCTACTTTTAGCCCTGCCAAGTGACAGTGAGTATTGTATTGTGTAAGTTTGACCAAGGACGCGGGTAGAAGGCCCTAGGGTTGACCACATATGACACCATGACGCTGTCTCTGCGGCAGGGATATGGTGGCAACAGAGCAGAGAGTCTGGTTCATAAAGGGATGATCTGTTGTAAAATTTATTGCATGANTTGGAACTTGGAACTTGGAACCTCTGAGCATGCGCAGTGGCCGTGGCGCCAAACCTGAGACTTGGAACTTGGAACCGGGGAGCATGCGCAGTCGCGAGCAGGTATTCACGGCCGCCGCCAGGGGGCGGGTCGCCGCTCTCATTAGTAGGGCGTTGCGAGGACGCGGGTCAGAGGTCAGAGAAAAAAGTGTGTCGCTGCGAGTAGACGCGTTTCTAGGAGCGCACGCCATGCCTAAGACGGGAAAATCGGACAGGGAGTGGAGGGAAAGGCTGACGGAGTTTGCCCAGGGTCGATTCCACTTCAGGACGGGTCAGAAGCCTCCAAGAGGAAGCAAATGGGCGGGAGAAATAAAGAAGATCGAAGAGTGCCCTCTTCAGAAAGCAGGCGGAAGTCAGAGTTTGTTCGGTGGACAGCTGATCTGTCGTTGCGGCTATCATAAGGTAAAACTTTTTTCTTAACTGTTAATGTCACGAATCGCAATTATAGACGGTGAAGACGGTAAAAACGTTCGTTGCTTAGGTATTGAACCAAATTTTAGATCGTGGCACTTTTGCTGAAGCCCCCCCCTCCCGTTCATCAATGTCTCCGCTACTCAAAGAAATTAGTTTGGCAATTAAGTTACTTATTTAACTATTTTATATAATAAATTTGTTTAAAAGTCCTCTGTTTCATGGTGTTATCTATAATTTATGAGGTAAACGATGGGGTGAAATGTTACAGTAATCTCATTGCACAAGAGCTTTAAGGATTAATGAAAAGGACGAAAACAATTAGAAAATTACTAAATTAAAGAATTTATTTATTTGAATAGCAGAGACATTGATCCCTGGCACCACATAAATTAATTTTGATCAACATTAGAAATAGGAGTTTTAGGGCGAGGGGGTGCAAAAATAACAGGGCCCCACATATAAGGCTGCAACTTCATACTTTTTATCACCTTTAAAAGTAAAATCTAATTATGGTATTTCAAGTTAGGTCTTAAGATAGAACCCATGTTGATAATCTGAAGAATCAAAATTAAAATGTATGTAATATGACGTTCAAAACTTTATAGTTTACTAAAAAAAACTACATTCATTCAAATATCCATTATAAATTGTTCAGTAAACTTTCCTTTTAAAGAAAAGTACTTAGAAACATAAATCTCAAATTTTAAAACAACCAAAAAATTTTAAAAAATGACTACATTTCATTCTCACATTATATGTCCCTAAAAGACTTAAACTCCTTCTTAATATTATCAATTACAGTTAATTCTGTTGAGCAGATTTCAATCTAGTAGCATATTCCATTCAGTTAGACCAGCTAACTTCAAAGAGATGTCCTCATACAGTACATTTGTTCCAATAAGTAAGACTGCTTTATAACTTATTGTTTTTTATAAAAATGCCTTTTTAAAACACAGCTCAAAAACATTTGGCCACATAGTTTGTAATGGACACACCACATGAACAATAGGAGTTGCAATTACTGGATTCCTACAGTAGTTATTAGTAAGGAGGTGTGCAAAATAGCCAGATTATTTAAAAGATGTTCTGCTGGAGATCACTAGATATACTGGTAGTTAAGAGTCAGGGTGTTTGTTTACCTAAAGTTACACCATGTGAACAATGCCCAAATGAGTCATTATTACTGGACACTTACTGGAGTTAGACAATAGTGGGTTGGTGTGTGCCAAACAACAAGATAATCTGAAGGATGTTCTCGGCCACTGCTAGAGATTATGCCGATAATTAGGGGATGGTGTGTTTGTTTACTTTAAAACATCTGGCCTCTTAGTGATTGAGAGTTACACCACAATAGTAACAATAACAATAGTAGTTGCAATTAAAGTGAACACATCAAAACAAGTTAGTGAATATGTGTGGTTTTAGGAGGTCCAGATGATGTTATAATTATTGGACGTGTGAAGAAGAAGACAATAAAGCTTTAAGTTTAGAACCCACTCTTTGAAACCTATTAAGGAAGTCTTAGGCTCTATTCCCATAGATTTTAGATCGATCTATCCCCGCGGGGAGTCTCACTAGATTACTTTCAGATAATCCGACTTAAATGTCCGTCCCGCCTACTACAAGCAGTAAGAGGGTAATTAACTTTTGTGTCCGCCCGGCTGACAGCTATTTAGCGTGAACCCCCAGGGAGTTAGGTCGATCTAAAGTAGGTCAATCTAATCTATGGAAATGGGGTGTTAGTATTCATTCCCATTCATCTGTCTTGTCTAATTATAAACATCTTTATCATTTAAACAAAATGCTTTTACACCATCTTCATTTGAAGAGGGAATTATGAGAAATGACCAAATTAAAACCCTTGTCATTCATAATTACTGATTATAAATTCTTTATTGGGAACTTAATTGTAAAACATGTTCATAGACTACATGCATGATTGATGATAAGGACACACCTACAGAGAAAAAATGAGACTAAATATTCATTATTTTGTTACGTTTAAGTATCATGGGATATGATATTCACTTACTAGCCAAGACAACATTTTCATGTCGTATGATGTCAGCAAACATGAGCCCTACTTAACTGAGCTGGCTTTTTTTCTCTGTCTCTTTCATATTGCTCCTTGAAATAGGCTTCTCTTTAGCTCCATCTTTTTATGTACAGACACAAATGTGTCTGTACATATAGCCGTCACCTGCGTCTGTTGTTGCCGTTGCCGTTGGCGTGCACTTTTACCGATAACACCATAAGTGGACAATGGTTTTACCTTTTGGCTTGAAACTTACAGAATATTCATAATACGCAGGTCAAGTTCGAAAATCAGCATGATTGGGTCATTTTTAGGGAATTTATGCTGTTTTTTCACTTTTTTCAGCATATATACAGCACCGATAACACGATAAGTGGAAAACCATTTTACCTTTTGGATTGAAACTGACAGAACTGATGAATATTCATAATATGCAGGTCAAGTTCAAAAATCAGCATGATGGGGTCATTTTTAGGGAATTTATGCTGTTTTTTCACTTTTTTCAGCATATATGCAACCCCGATAACATGATAAGTGGAAAACCATTTTACTTTTTNATATTTGCAGAGCGTCGATCCCTAAGTCAGCCAACGTTTGAACAAGAAAGAAGAGTTGATCTTCAAACTCTTCTTGTTGATAAGATATGCTTTTCATTGGAAGTATACCCTTAACGATAAACTATATGCATGATTAAATAACCTCACTCGAAGGTGAAACATGGAATCGACAGGAGTTGGAGGGATAGTACTCTCCGTCTTTTTCATAATTTTCGGGACTCGTTCGGCGCTTTCAAATGCTTATACTGTCATAGACACCTCGCCTACCACGGATCTGACGTTACGTTTATCAGAGCAACCGTTCCACGTCAACAATTCCATCACAGTACCACAGGGGGTAACGCTGAATGTAGAACCTGGCGTTACCGTTAAATTCGGCCCGGCTGTCGGTGTGCGCGTTGAGGGACGGTTTTTGGCAGTGGGACAACCGGACAAACGTATACTTTTCACGGCTGCAGACCCAAGCAATGTTGAAAGGTATGATAAGCAGTCACCCGTTTGGTTCGATGGTGCACGATTGGCCGGGGACTTCACGGAAACTCATCATGGACGCCTGGAACTTTTATACCAAGGTATCTGCAGTCTAGAAAGTCTTTGTGTTTTTGGAGCATTTCTTTCTTTCTTGTTTTCTTTTTTCTTTTTGTAATTATCATAGGAGCCTAATGGGAAGGGGCCAAAGCGAAATTACTATCCCTTCTCACATATTTAAATACATCAGTTATAAATGCAAGAGTCTCACCCCCCCTCCTCCCATGACCACAGACAGGCGTTATTCTTTAATCTTTTTGAATTATTAGCCCCCATCTGACTTTCTACTAACCGGAATATTCATTTTCACAAAAATTTGTTAAAGAGTACGTAACATTTTTTCCTTTCAGGTAGTTTTGGCACCGTTTGTCAAAATGGCTGGGGTAGTTCCTACTACAACAACAACAACAGAGTTGTTGCTAGGATGTTGGGATATCAAACGTGTACCAAAGTATATAACAGAGGCAGTGGCACTGGAAGTATTCTTCTGAACAACGTGAGATGCAATGGACATGAGAGCTCCCTCTGGGACTGTCCTCACGATGGGGTCCGTGTACACAATTGTTGTGAGTATCTTACTTACCTGTTATCTTTATTCATGTATTTACCACTTTTGAGAACCATGATATTGCAATTGTGTTATCTTTTATAATAGCCTAAGGCCAATGTCAGGGATGTTTCTTTGTTTGGTGATTGTCAGAGTGATCTATCACGAAAAAATTAAACTTATAATAATCAGGTCCATTTTTTCACTGCTAACCACAGAAAAGATAAACTCGACACTTTTACAGACGACTGTGTCTACATCATGTGAACATTTATTTTAACCTAATTTTTTTGTTTGTTTATTTGTCAATTTTATTTCGAACATGAAAGTTTGCACATGTATTAGATGGAATATAATGTAAGTTCAGGTATTAATATCACTAGTACAGTGTCTTTAAGTGATTGCAAAAGTTCTCTTTGTGCAGTATTTGATACATTCTTGACAACTAGGGGAAGTTAGACAAACTTAATTAGTTAGACAGTCAGACAGAACTTTTTACCAAAAAAGACAAAAAGTGAACTGTGGTCACAAGTCTGCTAGAAAGGAAAACAACACAAATCATTTTCTGTTTTACCAGTATTGTGTTGTACCGATGATGGAATTTGGACCATTTACTCCACGTGCGACATGCACTCATTCTGGTTTCAAATAGCTGTTGTTGGTACGTTCTTAAACATTACTTACAATGAAGACATGAAGCTATATACCGATGTGAAATGTAAGAGTTTGACCATTTGATTTTTTATCAGGTAGTTTGTAAAAGGTTATCATGATTTCTATACTGCTCTGTTATAATATGTATAGTGGCAGATCCAGGATGTTGCTAACAGCAGAGGGGGCGTCAACACAAGTATCAATAAATTCTGTCTAGTTTCTCGTGGCAATATTCAATGTTAGGCTGAGGTAATATTACTGTCATATATACCGTGCAGATATGGAACATGCTTTAAGAAAGGCCTGCCCTGTTCACCTTAGCTGCTGGTGACCCTGTCCTTGGGTATGTCTTTGCATGGAAACCAAAATGATAAAGTATCATACAGTTATTGTCTGTCTTTCTGTTGTTAGTAATCTATAGTTAAGGAATGGAGATAATGTAATATCAGTTTACAGTTAGAACAATATAGAGGAGCTGAATGTCAGTTTGTACCGGCCTGACAGGAATGGAAGTCCGTTAGGAACCGTAGTCCTCTCCCCGTTATTTTGTACAGGTGACATTCGTCCCATATACTTACCCTTATACGACGACTAACCATAACCTGTACTAATAATATGGACTTCCATTCCTATAGGACCACCATTCCTGCCACACAGTTTTTTCCTATTTTTGCTGACTGATAAATGGAAACAAGGATTAAAATCTGTTTTTATAACTTTTAATATCTTTTATGTCATTGTGACATCAGTTCATTAATTGAATTTGCCAGTGAAGCAATTAAAAATGCATTGCCTATTCTATGTCACACGACAAACATTAAAAACGAGAATTTAGATCTCCCCATTTTCCAAATTATCGTCTTTTAAATACAGACTTGACATTTAATATGGAATATTCTTTTCCAAATCACTTTTCATCAGTTTTTTCCTATTTTGCTGACTGATAAATGAAAATAAGGATTAAAATCGTGTTTTAATAACTTTTAATTATCTCTTTGATATCATTGTGACATCAGTTCATTAATGGAATTCACCAGAGAAGCAAACAAAAACACATTGCCTATTCTACGTCATACGACAACAATTAAAAGAGATATTTTGGATCTCCATATTTTCCAAATTTTTTCTGTAAAAGAGTAACATGCCTCACAAAGAACCCCCATGTCAGTGTCTAGTCACAGTAACGATCGCTGTTACGCTTGACCTCTTCTGTCTGCTACCAGCGCACTCAAGTGGCAAGGCATTCCTTGGGTTAGGTTTTTAGAGTTCAATCTGGAATAACATTCCAGCCATCGGTCAAAATCTGTCCAATCTGTGGTAGGACATGTAGGCCATTGATTTGGCGAGTAATGGCCTACCCACATATTGTCTATGTGGTTCAAATATGGCGATTTTGATTACATGTACCAAGGTAGCTGCTCATCCCCTTGGTTCTGTAAGTAACCTGCTATTAAAAGTGCTCTGTGTGTATCGGCAATTTCACTGTGCAACCTGAAATTGTTCCTAAGGTGCCCCCTATCAAATGATAGTCAAGTGGTTCCCAGATTAATCCTTTATTTGATCTGGTTCAGGTTTTCGTGGATGACCATCATTGGTGTTTTGACACCAATGTGGTATCCACTCCAATTACTGACGCTGTTAATGACCTTAGTCAGTGGACCACCAGGTAACTTTACATGTTGGAAAGGATAGGTGAACCATTGTCTAGTGTGGTATAAGCATGGTTATCCCTTTATTTACTTGTGCACATTGTGGAAAAGTGATTGTGATTTTGCTGGCAAACAAAGTAATATTACATGAAAATTGACAACAAACCTGTTTTGTACATTGTTGAATTATTATTATTATCTGCTTTATGGCAGTATATTTAACAGCTTTGCTGCCTTGTTTTCATAATGCTTGTCATTCAGTTAAGCAATGTTATACTTTCTCAAACAAAAATCAAATATCTCTTCTTTGAACTTGGTTCTTGCTAATTAAACCTCTGCAGTTCATATATCCTATTTTAATGTTTGTCATATACGTACATTACACAACATATAATGCAACATACATACAATGAATGGGTCAAAGTTATGAGGGATCGAAGAAAATCATTTTGGTAACTTTACCACTGCATAACACCAGATAGAACTTTGCCTCACATTGGTTTCTCTTGTTGTGTTAAAAGAATGAACATTTAAATAACAATAATTGCTGTTTTATAATGGAAAGACATTGGAAATTGTGATTTCAACTGTTGCTTACTTGATGACAGTTTAATTGATGTTGTATTATACATAGGGACCATTCAGAACGAGAAGAGCCCAGTGCTAGCCAGACCATGACCTAAATATGGCGGACCTACATGAAAGGAAGACTGCTTCATCCTGTTATAGTCTCTCCACCTCTTAAATGCCTCCCCACACATCGTTTCAGCAGGGCCACAGTAATTTAATCTCGGTTCAATTCAACCAGTTGCAGTTGCTTTATGGGAATACATTGAGCATTGTGTCATCAACAATTGCATTTGCATTATGGGAAGACATTGAACATTGTGACATCAACAATTGCAACTGCATTATGGGAATACATTGAGCATTGTGACATCAACATTGTGACATCAACAATTGTGGTTACATTATTGGAATACATTGAACATTGTGACATCAACAATTGTGGTTACATTATTGGAATACATTGAACATTGTGACATCAACAATTGATGTTGTGTTATTGGAATACTTGAACATTGTGACATCAACAATTGCAACTGCATTATTGGAATTCATTGAACATTGTGACATCAACAATTGCACCTGCATTATTGGAATACATTGAGCATTGTGACATCAACATTGTGACATCAACAATTGTGGCTACATTATTGGAATACATTGAACATTGTGACATCAACAATTGTGGTTACATTATTGGAATACATTGAACATTGTGACATCAACAATTGCAACTGCATTATGGGAATACATGAAGCATTTTAACATCAACAACCGCTGCTGATTTTTGGTAAGAGATTGAACATTGTGACATCAGCAAGTGGTGTTATAATGATATTATTGGGAATACATTGCTTTTTTCACTTGCTTATTATATTATTCAATCAGATGATTTCTTTGAATTTATTATTTTCTCTGTTTTATGTAGCCATTACCTGCATCTGTTGTTGTTGTCCCCAACATTTTTGTTGTCCCTGTGCACTTTCAGTGTCAACATTCGTGATATTCAGGCAGAATTCGAAAACCTGCATAATCCCACCAATTTTTCCCCCCACTTTTTTTCAGCATTTATGCAATACAGGCAAGGAAAACTGATAGGCCTTTTGTTTTCAAACTTACAGGAGTGACCAATGTTACCAGATTACAGGTTGAATCTGAAAATCCAGTTATTCAAACTATTCTTCTGGAAGTTATGCTGACATATTTCTTTCAGTATTTTTTATGCTGTATGCAACACTGACAGCACATTTCAAGGAAAACCAATAATATTGTCTTCAGGAGTGATCAATATTATTTTTATGCTTTTTTTGCATGTATTATAATTAGGCTGTACAGATAACACATTTCAAACTTACAGGACTGATTAATAGTATTAATATACAGTCCAAGTCTAAAAATCAGCTTGATGGGACCATTTTTCCCAAATTTATGTGTTTTTTGTTTTATTTCTCAGCATATACTCTAATTCTGGAACCGTAAATGTTAGAGACCTCTTGTTTTTTGCATTTTATAGAGCTTGCTTTTTTTTTTTTTTTTTAATTTTCTATATGATATACGAGTTGTGCTGTATCAAAAAGTACAATGTGGTGGTGAAAATAAAACGTGAAATACGGCAATATGCCACAAATTTTGAATGTCGGGAAAAGATAACATAAGGCTTAGTAAAGGACAGACAACTTTCAGTCAAAAATGACAGAATTTCATGAAATTCGAATGTCTGGAATTTCTGAGCACCTCCCATTTGATGAATTATGACCAAAAAGATCTTTTGTTATTTTAATTAATATCTTCTTTACAAAATTCATGGCACATTACTGTAACTCCAAAATTAACAAAGATACACCATTTTACACCTTTGTATCTCCAAAACTGCCAGAGATAGGCCCATAGTTACTATGGTCATTATGCTGTTAATTAAGCTTTATGTAATATTGCATCAAAATTGAAGAAATCTCTATTTTAGGCACTGCTTCAATAGTGACCATTTAAGGAAAACCATGTCACTAACCCTTCTCAATCTTACAGGATTAAAAACACAAGGCTTAGGGCATATTCCCATAGATTTTAGATCGATCTATCCCCATGGGGAGTCCCACTAGATTACTGTCAGATAATCCGGCTTGAATGTCCGTCCCGCCTACTACAAGCTGTAAGGGGTAATTAATTTTTGTGCCTGCTTGCCTGACAGCTATTTAGCGTGAACCCCCAGGGAGTTAGGTCGATCTAGTTTGGATCAATCTAATCTCTGGGAATGGGGTCTTAAATACAGCTTTGGAAAACAAGTCTGATTGGTTGATTTTTCTGGAAGTAATACAGGTTTTTGTTTTCACATATTGATATTTTCAAGGTGTGACTTTGAACCTCCATGGGCTTGAAGACCTTTGCTAGTAACATTTTCTGAATATCCATGATTCTTTTATTTTATCATTAAAATTGCTGGTCATTATGCTGTTAAGCTTTATGTAATATTGCATAAAAGTTGAAAAATAAAACTATTTTGGACACTGCTGCCTGGATGACCTTTAAGAGAAATAGAAATATTACTTATTACCCTCTACCAGGGCCACAGATTGATTTTCCACTAGATATTAAGAGAGTCTCTAGTTAAATAGATGGCTAATCTCTGTACTGTCATCCTGTGCTGAAATCTCTTGAGGATGATTACATGGCGGGTAATTGTTTGCATAACAACGGTAAAGTCTTGAAAATTTCATCGCTTAATAATTAATTATTTTTTTAAATTGCATTAATCCGATGATTGTTTTCAAAATTACGCATCCCCAACTTCTGGGTGTGATGAAATTTTCAAAACCCCGACTTTCTAGCTTTTATTCTTATCGGCATTTATCCTTGTTCCTCTGATATTGTGGGATATTTGCCTCTTCCAAGGACAATATCTGGTTGTAAATAATTGTTTTTTTAGTGCATCTTGATTTTGTTATGTTGACTTACCCAGAAAGAAGGTTGAGAATTGTCTTTACTCTCCAGATAGAGGAGAGGGATCAAGATAAGCCTAATTGCAATCTTACATTGCCTGGATGCAGCATATATCAAACATTATACATTTAAATAGTAACGTATAATGCATGCTAATTAAGCAGAAGTCATGGTAAATGAAAACAAACAACGTAATAAATTCAATACATAAGTTTTATTAAGCACATAACTTACTAACGCTGATATGTTCCTACGTTGGGTCAAGGCTTTCGTTGATTTTACATTAATTCAAACAGTGCATTAAGAGAGGAGACTGGACGAATTCCTACTCTCATAGAGATTAATACACTATTTAATAAAATTTTGCTCAAAATATTACATTGGCCTTAAAACGATTCATCAAAAGTTTACTTTCATTATGAGATGTCAAGTATCTGTCTCTCAGTAACTTTTATTTTCCTTATGCCTCTATTTCACACAGACCACGAATCCCACGAATCGCCATGAATTGACAAATTTCAGGATTCGTGGTTGAATTGTAATCAGTTCGTGAAGTTCTTAACAGATTCGTATATATTTGTAGTCAGTTCTTGCAATTCTTGACCAACAGGAAAACATGGCAAAAACTTTGATGCCCCTATTTCACACAGACCACGAATCCCACGAATTGCCAGGATTGACAAATTTCAGGATTCGTGGTTGAATCGTAATCAGTTCATGAAGTCCTTAACTGATTCTTATATAATCGTAGTCAGTTCTTGCAATTCTTGATCAATCGGGAATTTGTGGCAAAATTTTTGAGCTGTTCAAAATTGAGGCCACGAACTCCCGATTCCAAAATAACGTAGTGAATTTCTGGACAATATTCGTGCAATTCCAGCCAAATCCCACGAATATTTGTAACACTATCGAACCTGTATCATAACTGAATCGTAGAGCGTGTCAAATTAGACCAGAAAATTTACAAAATCTCACGATTCCAGCCAAATCCCATGAATATTCGTAACACTATCGTACCTGTATCATAACTGAATCGTAGAGCGTGTCGAATTAGACCAAAAAATTGGCAAAAACTCACGAATCCTCACAAATCCTGAAATTTGTCAATTCCTGGCGATTTGTGGGATTCGTGGTCTGTGTGAAATAGGGGCATTATGAAATTGGTGCTTCAGTCACAGATCTCTGAAAGGATCCTCAGTATCAGCTCTCGTGTCAGAGAATCCCAAAAAGTCACCCTCCTCATCACTGGTAAACAAATCATCTGGGACATCATTGGTTGGAGAAGATCTCTCCCCCTTTAGCGCGCTCGTGATCCCAGTGGTTTGAAATGACTTGACGACCATTTCACGGCTAACTTTGCTTCATGTTGACACCACCCACACAACAACGTCCTCTTTACTGGCCGTTGGCAATTTATCAAACTTCCCCTTTGCTTCCATGGCTGCCCGTCGCATATGCTCCGTCCACACTTTTCTCAGGTGTACCTTGAATAGCTATTCAAGGACACATCTAGGGGCTGGGCCTTGGATGTACACACCCCAGGGATGACAGCCATGGTTGCATTGGCTTTGTGTGCCACCTTCCTCTCTGTTGTGTGTGCAGAAAATGCATCAAGGATTAATAGGGTTGGTCGTCCATGTAGGGCCGCAGGATGTGTTTGAGCCACTTGATCATGAGGTCCTCGGTCATCCAACCCCTTGGGATTTACTTCAACCATCCACCCTGGAGGACACTCCAGGGATAGCTGATGTGATCCTGAAAAATAGATAACATTAAATTTAATAACTGGTAAAATATGGTGGATATTGCTTTGCTTAGAAATATATTGTTAATAATTACTTTAACAGTGGTGTACAGTTTACTTTTGTACTAACTTGATTAGGTGGTACATTTTACAGAAACGCTATTTATTCATAAATTTAAAAAAACTCTTAAATACAATACATTTGATACCGTTGAAAATTACCATTGATGGTAATTTAGCGCCGTCAGCAGCTACTGCCTGCACTACAGTGAAGTGCCTCTTCTCGGCTCCAGTGGTTAAGATGCGGACATCTTTCATTCCTTTTTTGTGTATGGTCCTCTCGGGCACCAGATCAAAAGTCATAGGAACCTCATCCATGTTGATAATAAATTGGGCGTCAAATTCATTCTTCTTCGTTCATCTCCCCAAGATGAGAGTAGAACACCTCCAGTCTGTCCTCAAGGTCGCTGGGTAAACACTGGCTCTCGGTGGTCCTGGAGATTAAACGTTGTCTTTTTAAGAAGTTTGTAGCCCACCCCTTGGAAGCATTGAAGTCAACTTCTAATGTTTCTGCCAATGAGAAAGCATGAGCACATGCTCTACTGTCACTGGCAATTGGAGGTCTCTCTGCTCCAAGACCCAACTTAAAATGTCCTCCTCGGTGCTATTTCCAAGAAGGTCGACATGCTCTCCCGCTGCCTTCCTTCCTGCCTGCATCATTTCTCGGGACCTCAAGGGCTAGTTCTTTCTTCCACTTGCTGACAGTTGTGCGTGGGATGCTTAGGGATTTTGCTATGGATGTTATTCCATGTAAGGATGCTAGGTCTACCACTTCTTTTTTCTCTGCCAAGGAATATGATTTATATTTCCCCCGTTTAGCAGGTATGGTGTTGGTGTCAAGTTCAAGATCATCTCGTCTCCGCTTAAGAACGATACGCTCCCCAGAGAGCAAGAGTGAGCCATCTGTTTTGTAGCAGTCTTCTTCGGCCTACCAACGAGACGTTTGGCAGGTGCTCTTGGAAGCAGCTCCTCCAGCCAACACCGCAGCACGGTGTGTTTGATGACGGTAGTCTTAGAGAAAAAATCTTTAATGTTGTGCTGCATAGTGACAGTGTCTTATGCATCTCCAAATTTTACCACCTTCTTATATACCCACATGCAAATGACACGTGGCAGCCAGCTTAATCTGAGGTGTAAGAAACAAACCGTATTGATGTTTTCATCAAAAGTTTTAATCGCAACACTGATCAATTAAGCACTGTTATGAGCCGCGTCAGTGATTACTCTGTAACATGGATAACATTACAGGTAAGACATGCCACGACCAGCTTAATCTGCTGTGTAATAAACAAGCCGCATTGAAGATTTTTATCGAACATTTTAATCATGATGCTCATCAAGCAAATGTGCTTTGCCATGTCAGCTGTTAGTGTTCAGGCCCATAGCCAGGGGGGGGGTTCGGGGGGTTCGAAAGAACCGCCCCTTTGGCTGGGAAAAGGTCCACTCTGGGTAAAATTTGATCTTGGTACATGAAGTTTTTTATGGGAAAAGGTCCACTTTTTCAGAAAAAAAACTCCCCTTTTGAAATTGCTGGCTACGGGCCTGGTGTTGATAGCATCACAGGTAAGTTACCGCAAATGAGCTAGGTAATCGTAACAGCTTAATGGACATGAATAGATGCTACGGATGCATTTCCCTTCTAGATAATTAGAAGTTGACTTTTCATTGTATCTTCCTCATTTAGCACAACCATTGATAACATTGAAAGTGTCACTACTGACAAAGAGTCATGGTACATGACTTCTATTTACCATTTTCAAGACGCACCTGGTGTAACCCTGTGTATGTGCTAGGTAATAATAGGCCTAATGCCACAAAAGACAAATATATTGTTCTTATCTCTTACTGAAAGTGTTATTGTCAATGTTATCCTGAGCGTCTTGAATGAACTGACACATGCGTATTACCTTCATGGACAACACGGCCATGTTGGGTGACGAACTTTTCAAAATTAACGTGAGGGGCCATTTTCACATACGACGAAATTTTTAAAGGCAAAAAAATTACGTCAGCGGAAAATCGTAGTCCGACGAAATTTTCAAGAACGACAACATTTTCAAGACTTTACCGTACTCAAGTCCCTGCCAAGTCCCCTTGACAGTAATCAAGACAGTTAACTGCTCATCTGTGACAATAAAAACAGCCCCTTAGCAGACAGACAACACAAGGCAGGTTGCATAACAAGTGGTAATCACATTGATGTGAAGCCCAGCTCTCACTGAGCTCCTGCAGAGCAGGTACAATGCTATCTGCGTGCGTGCATATTTAATTGCTCCCATCTGGCCAAAAGTTAAAGGGTCACCTCAGCAAAAATGTCCACAAAATAATAACTGCGGCCCTGGTAGAGGATAGATACTTATGATTCTCAAACTGTCTGAAAAGATTCATTGGACTGAAGCGCAGCTTGTGTTGGAAAATCAGTTTGATTGTTTTCTGTTTCGGAAGCAATGTAGTTCTTTATGAATTTTTTATTTCTTACACAGTCCTTGGTAATATATGGATACAATGGATGGTCAGTCTGTAATTGTCCCTTGTGTAATCACTAGCATTCAGAAAGATTAGGTCACTTGCCTAATTAAGTTTCAAGATGCCATGAAATGAGATAACATAAAACACACTTGTTGAGATTTCCATAGGTTTAGCTCTCTGCCAGATACAGTTTGTAAAAGCCTAAATTAACAGTGTCACATAATTAGGAATCAGTGATAATTATATGCAGGTAAATGTTGTTTAATATTGCATAAGTGCTATAGATAAATAACAGTGCCTGATTATCCTCAAACTCATTGGGGTTATTTATATCATGTTAATACAGCTAGATTAAAAGTTTGAATAGCAGCCTTATTGGAATATTTTTTATGTTTTCTGTTTTTATTTTTTTCAAACGCTGGCATGTCAAGGTGTGACTTCTTACTCCCATCCACCTGAAGCTATGTACATTTTCTGTATTTCCACACAGGCAATTGTATTGGTGTTTATGTCTTTAAACATTATGTAATATTATTTTATGCACTGTCATCATTTTTCACATATTTGGATTTTCATTATGTGAATTTGAACTCTCATGTTCTTTAAACTCTAATTTTATTGACCATATTACCTTTAGTGCATGATTAAAATTCAGTGTTTATTGGCTGTGCTGTTATTTCAAAATTATTTATTTTTGCATTAAAATTGACAAAATGACCTATTTTCTGCTTTTTGCCTGTACATTTGACAGCTTTGTTGCCTTGTTTTTGTCTTGCTTTCCATATGAATGCACTTACTCCAGCTGGTGGTACAATATCCGTAGTCAGTATCATCTCTCTGATCCTCTAGTAGGGTACTTGACTTTTGCTTAAAATGCTTTGCCCTTTTGTATGTACTGTATTTGGTGGAAATAAGTTATTTTGCAAGGCTGGGAAATTTACTAGCATGGCCTCTGAAGTTGACTTATGAGAATATATGTTAGAGAAAAATGAAAGCTCATTGATATATTCTGATCAAGTAAAACATGTTAATTCACGGGTTAAGTCTGGTGGGGTAAAGGGAACACAATATCCCACAGGTCCTGGGGTCTGATGGCTTAAAGTTTAAAATGAGTGATTATTGGAAGATGGACAGCAAAAACATTTTCATTATTAATTTACTCATAAGATTTCAGAAATAAAACAGTCGCACACAAACACACACACTCAGTTATTACACACACACACACACACACACACACAC